AGTCCATCCTGTGTACAGGGACTGTGCCAATTAGCTATCTGCTTTAAATTCTGACCGTCAGTTGACATAATATTGACAGACATAACAAATAAAGTTAGTATAAATCTGTAGTTTTGAAATGTTGTTTTCATATCATGACAATCACTTTTCAAATAGCAACTTCAGCTCCTTGAAGAGAGCTGGCTTTTGAGAATTCAGCTGTACTTCAAAAGGTAGCACAACCAAATGTAGCTGAATGAAGCAGCTTAATATTTGCAGTTTCTTATTCAGGTTCTGTTATCTTTGGATAGGAAATATAGCCCATCTTTCAGTATACAACCCATCCTCTCACATGATGTAAACTATGCCTAGTTTTTTAAAAAAAATACCAGTATAATAACATGATGTAAACTATGCCTAGTTTTTTAAAAAAATACCAGTATAAAACATTCTTAGGAAATTATGCTGATATTGAATCACTGGAGTGCTTTAAAGAAGATATTTATGGTGTCAGCACATTGTTTTCAATGAGTATATGTATTTTAATCTCTTCACTACCCCTCTTCTTATGTTGTCAGTTTGGATGGCTATATTTTCCTTGGTTTGTGCTACAGCCTCATGGTTCAATTTATCAAAATATTTTTGGTGAGATTTTATTGCTGTGCACAAATAGTATGAGGCAACTGACCATATGACTTCTGTATATTATATCTGGTAAAGACTATTATATTCTAGGATTTATATGGGTTACCTTCATAATGTGGTTGTAAAAACCTAGTACAGGTATAAAATCTTGATAATAAAAACACAGCTATTAAAAGATGTTAGAAATTCAGGATTTAGAACAAGGTCATCTGGCAGTGTCTATTGAGACCATTCTCCTTAATACAAGGCTAATTATTTCTTTGTGGAACAGATTGTAACAATAATCACCAATTTTCAATTTGGAAAAAAACGGAGAGAGACAGAATGACATTTGTCAACTCAAAAAGGTATTTTCAACAATGAGTCATTAAGTGAATAATATTTTATGATTTCCATTTCATTAGTACATTAAACAGTGGCAATCATTATTTCCATATTATTGTATGTATTTCACTGTTGATGTTACCCTCTACTATTATTTAATGTTTTGGCATAATTTCCAAGAACTCAGGAGAAAATGATTTTCCTGTCCTGTCCTGTCCTGTCCTCTCCAGTTAAACATTTGTGAGGGGTGGGAAAACTGGAATACATGTCTTGTATGATTTACATGATGCATTGTTAAGTCATTTACTTTCTTCAAATGACATTTCTTTGACAGGCACAACTGAAGTCTGTCATTAACCTCTCCCTCCTCTCCCCTCCAATGTTACGTTCTCAAAGTCTCTTATGAAAAATAAATAGTCCTGGGATAAGAAGGAAAATCTTATGGATCAGTAACTGGTTAAAAGATAGGAAGCAAAGATTAGGAATAAATGGTCAGTTTTCACAAAGGAGAGGGATCTTTGGAGGACATGTACTGGGACCTGTACTGTTCAACATGTTTATTAATGATCTGGAAAAGGGAGTGAAGTGGCAAAGTTGGCAGATGATACAAAATTTTTCAAGATAGTTATACCAAAGCAGACTGCGAGGAGTTACAAGAGATATGACAAAACTGGATTACTGGACAATAAAATGATAGAGGAAACTTAATGTTGACAAGTGAAAAATAATGAACATTGGAAAATATAATCCCAATTATATATACAAAATGATGGATTCTAAATCAATTAACTGTTTCTGCTCAAGAAAGCAATCTTGGAGTACCATGAATAGTTCTCTGGAAACTTCCATTCAGTGTGCAGCAGTAGTCAAAAAGGCTAACTGTAAGTAAGAAATTAGTAAGAAAAGGATAGAAAGAAGACAGACCATATCATAATGCCACTATATCAATTCATAGTGCAGACATACCTTGAATTTTGTGCAGTTTTTGTCATCCCATCTATTAAAAAAAGCATCTATACAATCTTGTTCTTTGCTGGAAGAAGTGAAAAATGTTGTTTATCTTTTCACACAATACAAAAACCATGGCTCACCTGATGAAATTAATAGGCAGAAGGTTTAATAGAAACAAGGATTTTTTCATGAAATGCACACTCAACCTATGGAACTCATTGCCATGGGATGGGATGATAGTAAAAAGTATAGCAATGTTCATGAAATAATTGAATGAGTTTATAGAGGAAAGGTTCATCAATGACTGTTAACCAGGATGATTGGGGACAGAACCACATGCTTGAAGCAACTCTAAATCTCTGATTTCCAACAGCTGGAAGGTTGAAAACAGGGATGAAACATTCTAAAATTGCCCTATTTTGTACATTCCCCTGAATCTCTGGTAGAGGCCACTGTCAGAGATATGATACTGGGTAAGATGGATCATGGTCTGATCCAGTATGGCAGCTCTTATGTTTTGTTTTCCTTCGGATCATTAGCAACTTGTTAAATTAGCAACTACACATACACGAGAGATGCATGTACATGTTAGCATACACCCGTAGCATAAATCTGTGGCTGTACTCTTCAAAGCGATTGCAAAACTGGCACTTTCTTACACGAGTCTGCTGTGACATTCTTTGTCTTCAGTGACAAACTGTACTTTTAATGATTTTTACTCCTTTTATCTCAATGCACTTAACACAGCTAGAACCTGAACTTGATTCTTCTTCTTTCTTGTACATCAATAGGTTTGTTTAGTAAATTCTCATTTATTAGTAATGTACAAATCTATTGAAGGAAATAGGTCTATATCGGTGTCACTCCAAGCATAATCTGAAGAAAATGGAATTGAAGAGGTGTAAGAAAAGGTTTCATTTGGACAGTAGAGCCTTTATTTCTGGTGATGACATAGCACTGCTTGACTTTCCTATCTTAGGAGGATATGTAGCACATATGCTGTAGTATCAAATAAAAATAAATAAAAGTACAGGGCTGGCAGTTAGAAAGTAATCTTTTTACCTGTAAACTGAATGCATTTAATATGGAAATAATTAAAGCAATTAATGTGGATAGCCCACAGTGCAAATTTTAAAGAGCAACTTCACAGAGTAAAGCTACATTTAAAACAGTATCAATCCCCTACCAACCATAAGCTATGAGTTAATAATATATTGAAAAAACTCCACTTCTGGATAAAGCCATTTTTTTTATCAGAGCACTAAACCATGGATCTGAAGCCATAGCTGTGAAGTTTTACATTTTATAAGTTTAAAAAAAATCACCTGTCCTCAAAAATATTTTAGCTCATTCTAACAATAGAACTAAAGCCAAGTGGCAACAACTTTAAATAAGTATACTGGAATATTAATTGTTGTATTGAAATTTCAGATGGCTTTTTCTTTTTATTTGGCTGAGTTATTTTTAAAATTACAAATCAAACTGTGAACTGTTTATAAATGTCTCTATAGTCCAAATTAAGTTTGAAAATTGTTAATCTCCACAATTTTTACACTCTAAAAACTACCCATTTCTACATTCCAGTGAGGCAATTGCATGTGCAAATGGACATATGCACTGAGCATTTTGTGTACCTAGCACGCACTAGAGACCAACTGATAATTCATTTCCCATAGGCTGCCAAATGAAAAGGAAGAGCCTGCTGAAATTGCAATAAAACAGATAAAATTTCAGTATAGTTAAGGTAAAAAAGTGCTTTGAATCTGTTTTTAAATTGGTTTGTGCAGTACCAGTCATTAGTGCTACTGCAGCCACATAGGTGTATATTTTTAACTAACTGGATGCATAACTACTAAGTCTTGTGAGCTTCTTCTGTGATATCTTCTGCAAATTATGTAATGAGTTAATTTATATATTTTCAGATCATTTGCATGTGACTATGAACTTCAGCTTAGGCTCAATGCACTCAGTCCCAAGCAGTGGTAGGTTCAGACAGAGTTGCACAAATCTAGGGAGCTGTGATGGGGAAGGAGGGCGAAGCCATTTCATCCCAGTGTATTCTGTCAGCAGCAGCACAACCTGACACAATACTGCAAATGATGGCATTGCTGCTGCTGCAGCTGTCTTTAGTTTCTGCTGTCTTTTCATCATTGGTGTCTTTGGTCAGACATGGTGGGCACTGCTGAAGCAGAAATAACGGGAGAAGAAGAATGTCAGTTCCCGCGAGGTCCCGATGAACTGGAGGCTGCAGTCGTGTGAGTGTAAATATAGGGGTGATGTCACACAAGTGTGATATCTTTCTTGTGCTTCATACGTGATCTGCACTAATGGGAAAATTTGCGCTTTGGTGAAAATCACAACTGTGAGGCTAGACCAATCTGAGTTCTCATGAAAGAGGATCAAGATATGTCTAATGTACATGCCTAGGAGAGGAATTAAGGATAATTGCTCACATCAGTACCCTGTCATGAAATAGTACAAAGAAAGTGGACTTATTGTATTAGCCACAATGATTGCTCCCATTTGTACTACCTAAGTATTTCTTAACCTAGATCCCTAACATTTAACAAATATTTGTTAAAGCCAACACTTTCAGAAGGATCCATTAATTTTGTGTGCTTCTGTTTTTGAGGACTCACCTGGTGGCTGAGTTTCAGAGTTTCTCTGGACTTGCAGTTTCCTGTGATTTCAGACCCAAAAATTAAGGCAAACAAAATTAGTGAACACCTAAGAAGTGTATATACATGGCTGAAAAATGTACAGTATGCTTTTGTAATCAGTCCTTGGTTTGGTGCAGAGATAAAGAGATAACCTTGAGTAAGCGATGCCTGAAACAGAATAGGGAAAGTTTAAGGATATGCCCTGCCTTCTATCCTTTGTGTGCTTTGCTCCTGTGAACACCCAAAAACTACAGTGTGCGTGGCAGCAAAAATGACCCAAAGGTGTGTTCCATTAACTGCTATTACTTGACACTTGAACCCTGGTTTTAAGAGTTCAAGTGTCGCAGAGGGAATGAAGTTACATGATGTATCAAAATCTATATTTAGGGAGAACAACTCCAAGCTATGACAGGAATTTGCTTTTACACTTAGCTTCTAAACTCAGTTCCACTCCAACTCTGAGCAGCTCCCAGTACCATACAGGCAGAAAGCACTCTAGCTATTTCAGACACATTTAAAGGATCACAGTCAAGATCTCAGCTCACTGAAGAAGGTGTCTCTTTCAGCATCGAAAAGAAGTGTATATACTCACTTGACGGTTTGGAACTTTTATTATATAAATAAATAAGTAAGCTAAGCTGAAGGTATCATTTGCAAACTTGAAAGGTTCTGTGAAGTATCTGAAGTCACTGTTTATTTTAACATTTTGTGCAGCACATGAATGTGTTTAGTGCAGATTGTTTTTGCTACTGCTATGTAAACTACGGAGATCTTAAAAGATTTAAAACAGAAAGCTGCTTTAATACTTGGTGACATCATAAGCAAATCTATGTACAGTAGCAGCATGTATACTGTACCAATATATGTTTATTTTTTTCTAAAAAATTCTTGCAGTTGGTAAAAAAATGTTTGGGATAGGGGGAGTGGGTACGGTCGAAAGGTAAGTTTTCTCCACTGTAACTGTAGCACCAAACAGTAGTGGAGGAAGAAACAATTGTGTTATCAAAAACATTATGTATAATTGTACTTGCCTGCAGAATGTAGTCAGTTTGAGTCTGGCAAAGTGGGGTTTTCTCCTTTTCCTCAGTACCAGTTTGGTGTCACAGAGGTGTAGTTCCTGTAAGTCTTTTATAAGAAAACACACGGCAGCTTTCTGGCCAAAACACCTTTGGTGTTTGATTTCATGAGTACAGCAGGAGGTAAGAGGACAGCATTCAGTGTTTGGGTCCCCCCCTCTAATGTGCAGTAAGATTATAAAAGATGGACATTATGACAGTGCCGCGTGTATCTCAACTATATTTAAAGCAAATTGAATAAGAAATTAGTTTGTCCACATAGCTGCACCTCTTTCTACACCTCTCTCAGGAATTATTTTTAGCTGAAGTAGAGAAAATAATTGTTTTTTAAACTCATTTATAAATACTGCTGATTCCTTCCTATCAAATATTCCTGTTCATGAGTGATTTCGCTACAAAGTAAAAAAGTTTGCATTGGAAGTCAGACATTAAATAGTAACAAACTGAAATAAGAATGTAATTGCTTTCAAAGTTTTGCCTTCACATTCAGGCCATAAAAGGTAAAAGGTAAGTTGTGGGGAAGTCAAAGAGGCTTGAGAACAAGGCTGTGTGTATGTCAGACAATTTGCCTGGCAAAAGGGTTTAAACTCTTAGCTGATAATCAATCTGAGCTGTGATTTGTTCATGTTTGCAAATCTGCTCAAAAAGCCAGAAATAAAAGAATGTGGTAACGCAGTATTTTGCTGAATATCTTTCAGATATACATGGCAAAACAAAAGTATTTATATGTATTAATCCATGGCAGTCAAGTTTTATTTCTATACATTTCACGGTTAGTAAATATGCTAAAAGTGAATTGAGAGAGAGTAGAAGGGGAGGGAATGCAGCCAGAGAAGGTTGTCTATTTTTACTCATCAGTGCGCTGTTGTCCTGATTTCTCTGGCAATAACGAGGGCAGCATGAACTGGAAGGAAAAAATCACCTCCTCCTCCAAAAGCAATCCTACACAATTGTATCATACATCTCTCTTTAGGAACCAGTGTCTGATTGCAATCAGTTTCAACACAGGTTTCTTAGGAACTCACAGCATATTACAAAACATAAGATGGCTTGGTTTAGAGAAAGACATTCTAAGTAAAGATTTAATCTAATTCCTAACCCATCCATGTTTAAGTATACCCAAAGGCTGAGGGAAGTGTATATCAGCTGTTTCTCGTGAGATGGGGGAGCATGTTGCCATACGCTGGAAGTCTTCACTGTAATTTCATTGCTGCTGTGGTTTAAAGCAGTCCTATAGTATTTTAAAATGTGCATGTGTGTTAATTTCCTTTGCCTCTGTTTTCATTTTAAATTGTGATTAGAAAGGGGGAAAGATCAGAGCATAAATTAATTACACCTTTTTATATTATAAATCATAATCAGATCTTTCTAACGGTTCGTAGTTTTTTATAATCCTTGAAATGCAATCACTGAATACTAACATTGTGCATCAATATAGACTTTCTGTCAGTCATCTGAAAAAATAATTATTTTCTATGCACAGTAGCAACTTTAAAAAATGAATGCAAGGGTGGAAACCTGGGAGTTTTGCCATTGACTTCAGTGACCCAGTATTTCACCACGAAAGTCAGTCTAATAGACAACACGATGCACACCAAAGCTGTTTAAACTGTCTGGTTTTAGGCTATCACAGTGCAAAAAGCACCTGGAACTGTATAATTTATATGATGGGATTTTTGGACCCAAAATCCTTAAACAGGCCTACCCAAACTGAAAACAGAGCCCTCACAAAAAACAGTAAAAAGCCAAGGGCAAAATTCAATCCAATGAGTTTGCCTGAGTGAAACTGAGGGTAGAATTTGATTCTCGTTTTCTTTATTGATCTTATTGACTTGAGAGTCAGTAGAACTGAGCTACTGACCTCGTGTAAATTTGTATATTAAGTCAGTATCAGTTTTTCCATGTTTATCTGAATGATCTCCATTCTTAATTCTTAAGAATTAATAACTTAATTCTGTCTCAAGCTATTGCTGAAAAAACTCACTAAATATACATCTTTGAAGGAAAAGTCCTCTGTGTCTTTAAGATTTCCAAGAAGGACTTTGAAAAAAATAGATACCATTAAATTATAGTATATGTACAAATGGATTTGGGAGATTTTTAAGGCTTTGGGAGTCAGGAATTGGGCACATTTTTATTTGTTAAATGCGCATTCTTCAGGATTACATTTTCATTTGCAAAGGCCAGGTTCAGACTCAGGGATTCAGTAACCTCTACTTACGAGGTAACATAACACTCCCTTGTTTGCCCCAAACTTCTTCCTTTTGCTACTGCTCATTCTAGGATGTCCTTAATGTCTTAGGAATTTCTGATTCCCCTCACTATTTTTTTTCATGTGAAAGCAGTATCACCATTTCTGGCTATGAAAGATTAACTAAGGAAGCTCAGGTGTTCTCATTCCCTCAGGTATTAGAAGTGAGTATCTAAGCAACTCTGAAACTGAGACTCTGAGAGTAGAAGGGCTGATGAAATGGATGCCTGTCAAGAAGCAGCATGGGTTAAGTTCTAGTTTATCAAGCTGTGCTATCGGAATGTCAGAGCCTGTAACGGTTTCTCATTTTGCTTGCAGGGATAAGGCACTCTCCTGAGAATGTCAAAACAGCCAGTTTCAAATGTCAGATCCATTCAGGTAAGAGCTAGTACTTATATTTCTAATATCAGGAAATAAAAACATCTCTATATCAATTGCTTGACAATCTACATTTTGTTTATAATGAACAACACAAAAGTATTAGCCAGGGATTATTTTAAAATAATACAAGTTTAGTCTTGAAAGAACATAAAAATGTTGTCCTGAAGAATTGCTGCTGATTTAAAAGTGAAAAAAGATCACAGATTTTATTTTCAAACAATAGCCCTTCCCATGATAAATAATGTCTGTTGATGGCTTCACTAAACACACCAGGAGAATCCAGAGAATTACCATGTATACAGCCAATATGTTTTCTGGGTCCCAAAGAATGGCTGTGCCAGAAAATACAGGATCATATTAAAATTTAAACTGATAAAATCTTTTAATAGAGAATATTCAAAATTATAGAACTCATACATTGTTGAATATACATTTTAAATATCCCAGCCTTGTCAGTTCATGTTAATCAAAAGTGATATTATTGTGATGTTGAACCCCCACATTCTTTATGGAAAAATGCTTATGAATAGAAATATGCTTAACTTGACCATGCTTTATGCAAACAACTGCTTGTAATAATTGGAATGCTTATAATCCCCTGCACGTGTATATTATGTTTGTGTGCATGTATCATTTCTGTATTTTAAATTAGAAATATAAACCTATTTACTGATCTAGACCTGCTAAGTAAGGACCATTAGTGGTACTCAAGGAACTTAATGGCCCAGTGATCGGGACAATGAGCTGTGAATAATCTTGCTTCTCCTCTGAGCCTGGTCCTACAAAGATATGTGCCCAGGGCAGCTGATGCTGGAAACCGTTTTGGATACTGTTCTTTTCCACTCAACGTGAGAAAAGTTTGAACTGAACACAAAGGATTCCCACTTTGAGCAAAAACTGTATAAAGGCATAAAACCAAACAATAGGGGGCTGCCAGATACCAAGAGACTCCTGGTTACCATCTAAGATGACTGCTGGAAACATCTAAGACTGAACTGGGGGAAGTAGTGGGCCCAAAGTGTGGAGGCTTCCCAGCTTGTGAAACAAGCAATTAAAACTACTGTTACAGTAAGAAATTGCAAGTAATACGTTTTTTGGTGTATTAAGATTAGCTGGCATGTTTTGTTTTATTTTGCCTAGTAACTTACTTTGATCTGTCTGTTATCACTTGCAACCATTACCTTTTTTATATTTAATAAAATCACTTTTGTTTATTAATAAGCCCAGTGTAAATAATCGTTACCGGAGTTGGGGAGCAACAGCTGTACATATTGCTCTGTCATTGATAGAGGGGAAGAACAACTTATGAGCTCTGTCTGTATAAATTTTATGCATAGTCAGATGGATTTCTCTGGTGTTTTGGTCCTATTGGGGCAGAATACTCTGGATGCTGTCAGATACCTTTGACTGAGCCTTCCAGAGCTGAGCTGCTCTCAGTGTCTGTGTTGCTCAGCTGTGACCCCAAATCTGTGCCTTCGCTGGGAGGAGACAAGAGGTTCTAGCTCAGCAGGACAGGGCAGTATTGCTCCCCAGAGAGCAGATAGGTTGTACTTTCTGCACAGGAAGGGTATGTCTACACTACCCCGCTAGTTCGAACTAGCGGGGTAATGTAGGCATACCGCACTTGCAAATGAAGCCCGGGATTTGAATTTCCCGGGCTTCATTTGCATAAGCGGGGAGCCGCCATTTTTAAAACCCCGCTGTTTCGAACCCGTGCAACATGGCTACACGGGGCACGAACTAGGTAGTTCGAACTAGGCTTCCTAGTTCGAACTACCGTTACTCCTCGTGAAAGTTTAGGAGGTGTACCGATAGTTCGGAATAGGAAGCCTAGTCCGAACTACCTAGTTCGAGCACCGTGTTGCCGCGCTGCATGGGGTTCGAACCAGCGGGATTTTAAAAATGGCAGCTCCCCGCTTATGCAAATGAAGCCCAGGAAATTCAAATCCCGGGCTTCATTTGCAAGTGCGGTATGCCTACATTACCCCGCTAGTTCGAACTAGCGGGGTAGTGTAGACATACCCTTAGTGAGGTATTGCAAAGATTAAGTAGCTAATACTTCTGTAGCATTTTGAATTATCTAGGCCTACATGTATTAACTCTGATTATTATAAAGTGTGATTTAACTGAACAGAGCTGACTTTTTTTTATATAAAAAGGCATAACAGTTTGAAATCTCGGCTTTGAAATCAATGAACATTTTGCCATTGACTTCAGTCTGTTGGCTAGAATTTCACCTTTTATGTATTAGATTTCAAAATAGTGTGCATTATTAACTCACAGTTTAGGAGATTTATAACTTTGATATACATTTTAATAAACTATTAAACTTAATATGTTACACGTAAACAAGTTTTCTTTTTTAAAACACATTTTGAATTAAACCGATAGCCTTTTTTTCTTCACTTAAAGAGAAGGACTGGGCAGACAGTATTTGGTCACTTTGAAAGTTTCAGTTTAGAAGTAGGAAAAAAAATTGAAAAATCCAACTAACTTTTAGTATTTTTAAAAAAAAACTTGTGCCTCCAAAACACTAAGCGTGTGTCTAGACTACATGGCTCTGTCGGCGGAGCCATGTAAATTAGTGTATTCGGCATAGTCAAAAAAACTGGGATTTAAATAATCCCCACTTCATTAAAGTAAACGTGGCCACCACGCTGTGCGGACTATCAGCTGATCCGGCACAGCGCGGCAGCCTAGACGTGGAACTGTCAGCTGCGGAAGCCTTTGCCGACTGATCCCTTATGCCTCATGAAACGAGGCTTACAGGATCGGTTGGCAAAGGCTTCCCCAGCCGACAGATCTGCGTCTAGGCTGTGCCGGATCAGCTGATCATCGGCACAACACGGCGGCCTTGTTTATTTGATTATGCTGAATACACTAATTTACATGGCTCCATCGACAGAGCCATGTAGTCTAGACACACCCTAAAGGACTGGGCAGATGGTATTCGGTCACTTTTAAAGTTTCAGTTTAGAAGCAGGAAAAAAATTAAAAATCCAACTAACTTTTAGTATTTTTTTAAAATTGTGCCTCCAAAACATTAAATTTAATACTTAAAGAAAATCAAAATTCTGAACTAGTCTTGAATTACAAATGTTAGAAAAGCAACTACTGCAAAACCTGGTTTTTATAACATTTCTAGGGATTACTGGAAGCTGCTGCAGTGAGAAAACTTACCCTGCAATTGATGTATATAAATTGTGCTTTTGTCTCAGATCCATGATACAAGGTGTCACTGATTTTTGTTTATACATTATACTTTGTAGTGATTCATGGATTATGAGCTTTTGCTACTATATACTGACACAATAAGCCCTACATCTAGGAAAATGACAATATATATTGTGTTACAGAAATGGAAATTTAAGGATCCATATCCATATACTAACATCAAAAAATTTACTGAAGAAACTGTTCATAATCTGTGTATGAAATGCTGTCTGTAATATTAGCTGATAATAATTTCTGTCAACATTTACTACTTTTGATTTTCCACTCAGTTAAGACTTTTTTTCTGGTTTAGCATTTTAATGGTGGTGCCCAGTAGGGATGTAAAGTCCCATTTAATTGGTTAACCAGTGAAATGTGAAATTTAACAGGGGGCCCACTCCAGTCCCAATCCATAGCAGCCCCAGTCCACAGTAGGCACCCTACAGGTCCAGAGCAGCCCGAGCTGCTCCAGCCACCACCAGTTAACTCAGGGGGTGGGCAATAATTTTTTGCCGGAGGCAACTTAAACATATTTTGAAGTGGCCCCGTACTGCACCGGAAGGGGCGGGGTCAGGATGCTTCTAGGCATCCCTAGACCATGAGTCGTCTGGGGATGAGGGAGCCCCTTTTGCCCCTTCCCACTAAGCACCAAGAACCCAATCAGGGCCCGGGGGGGTGGGGAAGCACTTGAAGCCTCCTCCCTCCCTGCCAGGAGTGCACGGTGCTTCTAAGTGCTGTGTGCTCCTTGCAGGGCGGGGGCAGAGTGGAGGAAACTTGGCGCACTCCTTCTGCACCCAGGCCAATCAGGGCTTGGGGATGAGGGAGTGCGTGAAGTCTCCTCCCACCCTTTCAGGAGTGCGCAGCACATTAGTATTTGCTCCTCACAGGGTGGGGGGTAGGGCAGAGGAATCTTCATGCACTCCTCCCGCCTCCAAGCCCTGATTGGCCTGAGGGTGGGAGGAGCGCGTGAAGTGCCCCATGTTTCTTGCAGGGCAGAGGAAACTTTGTGCGCTTCCTCCTGCTCCTAATGGCCGGGGGAGGAGGGAAGGGGAAATGGCAGGGCCTCTGCAGGCTGGATCAACCCACCTGGCGGGCTGGATCTGGCCCACAGAGGCCCTTTTGTCTACCCCTGAGTTAACCAATTAACCAGTTAAACATTCACATCCCTAGTCCTGTGTTCTATTCAGAGCTCTGAAAACTCTCCTATTCGCTGAATGTATTTTAACATAATTACCTTCAAGTGGCCCTACAGATTGTTTAATTGTGCTTCTGGATGAATCGGGGTGACCATGACTTCATTCACATCTGACCAATAACAGCCCTAAACTGGCCTTCTGGGTTGCTGGGCAGCAGAAGGCATCAAGTTCTCAGGTCTGTATGTTGTGCCTCTACAACTCTCCCAGAGAAAGAATCAAGTGATTGTAAACACAAGTCCAGTTCTTTTGCATAGTAATCCTGATAGCTGGAGAATAGGCCATCAAGCTGACACATCATGCATTTCATCTGTCCATTTATAGTCAGAGGTAATATTATCTATTAGAGAGACAAGGTGGGTGAGGTAATGTCTTTTATTGGACCAATTTCTGTTGGTGAGAGACACAGACTTTCGAGTGTCACAGAGCTCTTCCTCAGGTCTGCAAACATATGCATTTTCTTTTCAAAAATCTTTGTTTTTAAATACATATTTAACCTACCCTGCTACTTTCTGTCTGAACTCTCCTCTAGATAACAGATCAGACTCTGAATTCAGATGCACTGGCATAACTCTAGTTAAACTCCATCGATTCCAACAGGGAGAAGAACTGGCCATAGAAATTGTTAGTCTTTAAGTGCCAAAAGACTGCTCATTGGCCGTAGAAAGGTCATGCTTTGGGTGGCCAGGGGTTTGTGCTGATTTGGCTTCCTCCACTAGTGAAACACCTTTGGAATGTCTAATAAAATGTTAAGCTGCTTTGATTCCAAGAGGAGGAAGCAGCAGAAACTCTCCCCACCTTCCCAGGTGTATGCACAGGTCTAAGGCAAAGAGGTAAAAATTACAATTCCCTTTCCTGAGGGGGAGGGGGGGATTTGACCCATGAATGACCATTCAAACACTATTAAATGCAACTGAGCAACTGGAGACCTAAGATCTTTAGGTACTTGTCCCAATCTATTTCCCAAAGCATGTGAGAGGAAGGGTGAATTTGGGACCTGTTCTGCCACAGGCTTCCCGTATGGCCTTAGGCAAGTCACTTAGTCTCTCTGGGTATGTCTACACTACCCCGCTAGTTCGAACTAGAGGGGTAATGTAGGCATACCGCACTTGCAAATGAAGCCCGGGATTTGGTTTTGAATTCCCCGGCCTTCTTTTGCAGGAAGCCGGCCGGCGCCATTTTTAAATGCCGGCAGTTCGAACCCCGTGCCGCGTGGCTACACGCGGTACGGAGTAGCTAGTTCGGATTAGGCTTTCTAATCTGAACTAGCTGTATTCCTCATTCCACGAGGAGTACAGCTAGTTCGGATTAGAAGCCTAATCGGAACTAGCTAGTCCGTGCCGCGTGTAGCCGCGCGGCACGGGGTTCGAACTAGCCGGGATTTAAAAATGGCGGCGCCCGGCTTATGCAAATGAAGCCCGGGAAATTCAAATCCCGGGCTTCATTTGCAAGTGCGGTATGCCTACATTACCCTCCTAGTTCGAATTAGGAGGGTAGTGTAAACATACCCTCTTTTGCCTCAGAGTCCCACTTAATGCACAGGGAACTGAGCAAATAGCACTTGACTTCCTCACAAGGGTACTGTGAAGTTCAATACATTGAAGACTGCAAGATGCCGAGATGGTACTGGGAGCAATATTGGTATGTCAACACTGCAATGAGACACCCATAACTGGGTTGTGCCAACTGACTTAGGTCTGCAGAGCATGGGCTAAGCACCTGGTTAAATGCAGTGTAGCCTGAGTTCTGGGTCCCCCTCATCCTGCAGAGTCACTAGGCCAGGCTGCAATCCAAGCCTGAATGTCTGCAGAGGAATGGAACAGCCTTTTAGCCTGAGCTCTGCAAGCTTGAGTCAGCTGGCACAGGCCAGCCACAGGCTTTTAATTGCAGTGTAGACATACACTGTAAGTACCTTAGACACAGAGCTTGCTTGCATTGCAGACAAGGTAGGTTTGCCACTGATTTTATTTACAGTAGAATTGAACTTAGTTGTGAAATTTCCTGAGCACTCCAACATATTTGACCTAGAAATATGCTTGGGGTACTGGGGCTAATTACTTCATGTACTAATTAAACTGGATTCCCCACCATAGCATGGCTATGTCTACACTGGCTGTTTCTTGCTCAAGAACATCTTGCGCAAGTGTTCTTGTGCAAGAAGTCTTGCGCAAGAAAACGTCCACACTGCCATGTGCGAGCTGTGCTTTTGCACAAGAGCGCCCATGGCAGTGTGGATGGTTTTTTGCACAAGACAGCTCTAATGGCCATTTTAGCCACAGGGCTTTCTTGCGCAAGAAATCCCCGCTGAGCGTCCACACTGCCCTATTGCACAAGAGCTCCCGTGCAAGAGAGATTATACCTGTCAAAAAAGAGCGTAGCTCTTGCGCAAGGAGCCCCCTCTTACCACGCCGTATTGTAAATTTCCTTGCGCAAGAGCAGGCGGGCAGTGTGGACACTGCAGATTCTTGCGCAAGAACGGCCGTACTTGTGCAAGAAGCCGCTAGTGTAGACATAGCCTGTGTGTTTTACTATAAATATTATTGTGGTTTCTTTGTTCCAAAGCTTTCTTGAATTTCATAGACCTGCTTCTCACACAAGGTGACAAATCCATCAACTGTCATCATCAATCACCATCCTTCCTACTAGCGTTGGTCCAATCCTGGAGTTTAAGGATGTCCAGCAGCTTTTTTTCTTCTTTTTCTTCTTCCTTTATGCTGCTTTTCCTGAGGATCTTGCGGCAGCATGGACAGACCTCCTTTTCCTCCACAACAGGTTCTGGCTGCTCCTGGAGGCATCCCAGCACTGCCAGGCCAGCCAGGAGATAGTATATTCTTCTGTGTGTTCTGGGTCGACTTTGGTGTCTCAGCTCCGTGAGACATTCTTGGTAAAGTTCCACTGGAAGCCTCCCAGGAGCATCCTTATCAGGTGCCAGAACCACCTCAGCTGGCATGTCATGATACAGAAGAGAAGCAGCTCTACTCCAAGGCCCTCCGGAAATAGCCAATCCCCTCATCCTGTCTTGGAAAGTAAGCCCCGTCACCCTGTGGAGAAACCTAATTTTTACCAGTTTCACTCACAATCTCATCCTTTTTGTCACTCTGCAAAGTTCAAGACCACAGGTGGGAATGGGGATGTGCAGAAAATTGTAAACTGAGAGCTTTGTCAGAGAACTCGGCTTCCACTTCACCACCACGGATTGGTACAGCACCCACATTACTGCCACTGCCGCACCAATCTCCTGGTTGAACACATGCTCTTGCTTGCCATCACTCATGAACAAGGCCCTTACATATTTGAACTCTTCCACTAAGGACAGCTGCTCCCTCCCTCATGGAGAGGACTGTGACCTCTGAGTTGGAGGTGCTAATGCTCATCCCAGCTGCTTCAGACTCTGCAGCAAATTATTCAAGCCCATGTCGAAATTTGCAGTCTGAAGAAGCAAGAAGGACGGTGCCATCTGCAAAGAGATGCCACCTCCAAGTCCCCATATCAAATGCAGTGCTGAGCTTCGTTGCGCCTTGGAACCATGCCCATGAAAATCCAATGGCTTTTTGTTAATTTAAAAAAAAAACTGAAAAAACTGTCACCCTAAAGCACGGTATGAGTTTACTCCATCTCTTCCAGCATTCCATTGGTGTAAATCCAGCCTCAGTCAAATTTGTCAATAACACCAACATTGGAGGGGTAGCAAATCTACAGATGAATAAAGCTAACCTGCAAAGTAACCCAGAGAACTTAAAACAGTGGAGCTGCAGTCAATGCAGGGAGCTAACTACTGATAAATGTATTAATACTGTATGTCTGGGGATTGAAATCAGTAGCATGGCTTCTAAAAGGTGGTGGGTGTGGGGAATATCCAACTCGCCATACTCATTACTTTAAAATATGATTATTTCTATTTTGTCTCTTTTGTACCATCTTACTATTAGGCTTTTATGTAACTAATCACTATAGCTGACATAGACAAGGAGGGGAACTAGGAGTTGGAAGATGGATGGAAAGGACCAGCAAGAGGATCATTATCTTCATATGTGATCCTTAGTATAAAGGGTCTGAGAGCCATCACTCCAGCACCAACTCTGTAAAAACACGGCAGTTGCTATAAATATAATACACACACACACACAGAAATTCACCATACTGAGCCCTTTTTATTTTGCAATTGCATCTTTTCTTTCCTGTCGTTTCATTGCATTTAGACTTTTTTTTTTGTGATGAATCCATCATGGTTTCCTTCTGACAGGCTAATATCAACATCCCAATGGGCGCATTTCGACCTGGAGCAGGGCATCCTCCCAAAGGAAAAGAATTTACACCTGAAGTGGAAGAGGTAAGAAAGTAATATTTAAACTTAATGCAGGAGAATCTCTGCAGCTTATGTGTTATGCAAACCATTTTATCTAGGCTATGGTAAGATGCACCAGTCCTAAATATCACAGATATCCGTATGCCAATCCCTATTGGAAATCAACCTCTGTCTATTGAATTCAGTGTTATTTTTGAGGTCAAAACATACATGGTAATATAAACAAGTACCAGGATACAGGGCGACCCTGCTGTAAGTTGCCCCTGTAGACATCCATTTCGTAATAATGTCATTGATGCTCATAGAAACGGATGCGTTATAAGTCCTCCCATTCCCTGCTCTTAAGTCGCATGCCCAAAAAACCCAACCCCGTCAAATTCCACAAATGGAATTCAGCTGCAGGAACATAGCTTGCTTTAAGTCCACTTTAAGTTGTTTCTCTATAAGTCCAAGTTTTTTGGAATGTATCTTGGTTGTATAGAGAAGACGGCCTGTATATGGTCCCTTTTAGTTAAGAGAATGCCATCAACAGTGACAGAGAAAGGGAAGGCAAGGATGGGGAAGCAAAGTAGCACTTTGAGGAGTGTATATTGTACTGTGTATAGAGCTAGCATAGTTTACTCCTGCCTGGGGCAATGAAGAGACCAAGAGGGGAATTGTCACATCCCTTGCTACTCCAGGGACACCAATGACCTATCCCTAAAGCTATTATATATATATATGAGAGGGTTTGTGCATCTGTGTGTTGGTGTGTGTGCGTGTCAGTCTGTGAGTCCATTTGCTCAGGAACTCCTCCTAACCAGTAAGAACTAGGGCCACCAAATTTGGTAGGCAGCTTCCTCTTATCATAACTTAAATCAAGGTCAGGGTTTGGTTGTGCCAGGCTAGTGGGATGTGCATGCAATGCGAGTGTTTCTCATCAAACAAAAAGGGAGGGTTGTGATAACAGGGAGAGTTATACTCCCAAATGACCACAGAGAGTCAAAAGCATGGGGGATAATTATACTCCTCAATGATCACAGGGGGGAAGCAAGCATCCCAGCTAGTGTTAGCAGCCACTGGCTGGCAGCATGGTCCCTACTGCTCTGGGCCAGCCCCGGGAAGTAGCCGGCAAGCAGGCTGTTCCACCCCTGCCTGGCCCCAGGGAGAATCCAGTGATCAGCCTGCGCATCCCCATGTCCCTGGCCAGACCTTCACCCAGGCAATGCTGGGTGAGTCTTCTAGAAGGGAATATTTAGAATATTTTTGGACAAATTATCAGCCCTTTCCCCCAGCTACAATAATCATGGCAGCCATGCAATTTTCTTACAAAAGGTTAATTCTTTCCTCTCCTCTCATCAGTTTACTTGTTAATCAGAACAGAAGAGGTTATTTTATATAGTATATAAATTCTATTATATACTTTACAGTAATGATGCTCTGTTTTGAAAGTCCCCCTTTTTTTTGAGGGGAGAACTGATTTTCCTTAGTTTTGAAGAAGGCATTTTAGAAAGAAAACATGTGAAGTGACCTTGCATGCACAAGTGGTTTTATCTTTTGAAAATAAATTAAAACATATTTGCTATTTGTTAATTAAATTTTGAAAGAATGTAAAAGGTGTTAAAATAAATTAATAAAGCACACACATGCGTAGGTAGTATTTGAAAAATAAGATAAATGGCTAGAAATGTTTGATTTAGTTGGATGATTGAATTATAGCTTTGCTCTTCAATTATGTGAATATCTACTATATGTTTAAGAGTTTATATTTCTTTGTGTATGTGTGTGTGTGTCCATCTGTCTGTCCATCCATCTGTAAGTCTCTTTATTCAAGAACTCCTCCTAAACGGTAAGCGCTAGGATCATCAAATTCGGTATGCAGCTTCTCTTATCGTAACTTAAAGCAAGGTCAAGTTTGGTTGTTGCAGGACAATAGGATGTCCCTGGACTATGATTGTTTCTTATCAAATGGAAAGGGACGGTTATGATAGCAGGGACAGTTATACCCCCAAATGACCACAGAGGGGCAGCAAGCACGGGGACAGTTATATACCAGAATGACCACAGGGGGGCAGCTGCCACCCAGCATGGCCTCTGCCACTCTCGCCTGGCTCCAAAGAACAGCTGGCCACCAAGCTGGCAACGGGGTTTGTTGCAAGGGAAGGTACCAGGGTTGGTATTAATGTGGTATGTCCTGTGGTTGTTGGTAAGAATCATCTTGAGGTTAGGTGGTTGTCTATAGGGGTATGTCTACACTACCCAGCTAGTTCTAACTAGCGGGGTAATGTATGCATACCGAACTTGCTAATGAAGCCCGGGATTTGAATTTCCTGGGCTTCATTAGCATAAAGCCGGCGCCACCATTTTTAAAAGCCGGCTAGTGCGAACCCCGTGCCGCGCGGCTACACGCGGCGCGGGCTAGATAGTTCGAACTACGTAGCCATTCCGAACTATCTGTACTCCTCGTGGACATATTCCACAGAGAAACACTGGAGATATTCCACAGAGATTTCAACAACCTACACCCCACCATCAACCTCAGCCTGGACCATTCTACACGAGAGATCCACTTCCTGGACACCACAGTACAAATCAACAATGGAAAATTAGACACCACTCTCTACAGAAAACCCACCGACTCATACAGTTACCTACATGCTTCCAGATCCCATCCAGAACACACCATACGATCCATCGTCTATAGCCAAGCCCTTAGATACAACCGCATCTGCTCTAATCCCACTGACAGAGAGCAGAAGCTTCAGGATCTCTACCAAGCATTTATAAATCTCAACTACCCACCCAGAGAAACAAAAAAGCAAATTGAAAGAGCCAGACGAATACCTAGAAACCATCTACTTCAAGACAGACCCAAGAAAACCAACAATAGAACACCACTTGTCATCACCTACAACCCCCAACTTAAACCTGTCCAACACATTATCAATAAACTACAGCCTATATTGGAACAGGATACCATACTCAAAGAGCCTCTGGGAGACAGACCCATAGTCTCCTATAGACAACCACCTAACCTCAAGATGATTCTTACCAACCACCACAGGACATACCACACTAATACCAACCCTGGTACCTTCCCTTGCAACAAACCCCGTTGCCAGCTTTGTCCACATATTCATTCTGCTGATACCATTATTGGACCTAACCAAGTGAGTTATAAGATCAAGAACACATATTCCTGCGCATCCAGAAATATAATCTATGCTATCATGTGCCGAAAGTGTCCGTCTGCTATGTACATTGGACAAACATCTCAGACACTTCGCCAAAGGATTAATGCCCACAAAACAGATATCAGACAAGATCACAAAGAGAAAACAGTTTCTTGCCACTTTAACCAGAAAGGACACTCTCTAAATGACTTAGCCACCTGCATTCTGCTACAAAGACCTTTTACATCTGCACTTGAAAGGGAATCCTCTGAACTGTCATTCATGTTAAAATTCGACACTTACCAACAAGGACTTAACAAGTCTTTGAACTTTCTCACCCATTACCAAGACAGTTTCCCCAATTATCACCTGTAATACCATTAACTCACAAACATCCCACTCTCCCTACCTTTAATATCAGCAATTCACAGACACTTACCTTCCTTCCTCCCCCTTCCCACCCCCCCGCATCCCCCTTCTGTTCTGCAATGTGATTTGTCCTTTTCATATTTGTTCATTTTTTTAAATTGTATCCTTTGGTATATATGGTTGTGACTACTTTCTTCCACTATTTGATCTGAGGAAGTGGGTCTGGCCCACGAAAGCTCATCATCTAATAAACCATCTTGTTAGTCTTTAAAGTGCTACATTGTCCTGCATTTTGCTTCAACTACCCCAGACTAACACGGCTACATTTCTATCACCAATCTGGAGGGGAGCTAGAGCGTTAGTGTGGGAACCTTGAGTCTCGAGGGCCACACTCACGTGAGCTGGGGTATTAGGTTCCTCACCCCTGCTTTAAAAACAAAACCTCTTACTCTTAAAAATCGATCCCCGTATCTCTGGTCGGACCAGCTTCACGCAGGTCCTCGGGGATGGAAAACTGCAGCAAACTGTATGAACAGAAACAAACAGAAGCCCCAATCGCAGCTGGAGGTGGGGCGAGGCTGCCCCAGCAGGGACACAACGGGGCAGCCGCCCCCCACCAGATCAGGAAAACAACCGCGCCATTCCCCGGCCAGCAGGAAGGCGAGTGCCGCTGCAAGGCTCCGCAAGGGAGGTGGGCGGCAGAGGGGTGTTTGACCCCAAAAAAAAATATTACAATAAAACATTAAAACAGCATGTCCCCTTTAAGAGTAAGTGCAGGGATAGGAACAGGGGAGCGATTGAGCACTAAGAAGCATTGCTTCTACATCTTTTGGCTGGCAGCCATTTTGTGCTGGTAGCCTTGGGGAGGCTGGGTGCTTAGTGTTGGTAGGGTGCCAGGTGCCCAGCATTTTCACCTCCTGGCCAGGGAAAAATTCAGAGACTACTGGACATCTCAGGAGGCTTATTCCGGACAGGAAGCGAAAATACTGGACTGTCCAGGTGAATACCAGACACCTGGCAACCCTATCTCTACCCCCTGCCCTGAATCTCTCCTCACCCCCAACCCTGACTCCTGCACTCCCCCCACCCCTGCCAACCCTGTGCCTTGAGCAATGCCAGGTAAATCTTCTAGTTATGTATGAAACAGAAACTATTGAATTAAAGTTTCTGCTCTGATCCTGTAGCATTTATTTCCCCCAAACCAATGAAGTATATTCACATGAGTAGAGGTTGCTGAATTAGAACTTGCTGTAGCAGTGGAACATAAATGTTCTCAGTGGATTTGTATTTTCAGTTTTTGCTGTTTATTTAGCTTTGCAGTACAATCCATGGTTCTATTTTTAAGGCCATTAGAGGCAAATCTATCTTTTTCTTAACAGTTCTGAACATTATGGGCTATATTTTGAGACCCTGGCAAGGAAGATATGTGTGACATTCAATGGGCTGAAATCCTTGTAGGTTTTGTATGAGAAAAAAATTGAGTGAAAAGGCATGTAGCAAGCAAATTGAGTGGGAGGACTTGGGAATTTCACAAAAAAAAAAAAACCCCACTGTCTTGCCAGCTAGATATTTGCTACCATAATCTTAGCACCATCAGGCATCTTATTGACTCTTTAAACTTCCTTTATAAAATTAGAGGCCAAGTTCTAATTTCAGCAGGGGGGGTGGGGAGGATGTACACATAGTGGGAGATAATTTGAGCTACATATACTATGAATGCCATTCATCTGAGGTTAAAAAGTGACCCTAAGTAATTTATAGAATAGAACATTTCCAAAACATGTTCAAACATTACCTGGTCCCAGAGGCCAAAATGATTGTTGCCTTAGTTAGTTACAGCACAGAACTACAAAATAGAAGCGTGTTGTAACTGATTTAGGAAGGGTGACCATATTTCCCCATATTTCATACAGAACACCTGGTAAAATTACTCATATTCAAGTGACTTCGATGGTAATCAGTTGTACAAATGTTCAAATTAACATCAAGTTGGTTGAGCCCCTATTAAAAAAAATACCACGTAGCTGGATTCTTTTTATTTACCTTGTTATCTCTAAGGCTGCACCTTCACAGTGGCATCATTTTGGAATAACGGCCATTATTCCAAAATGACAATGCGAGCATCTATACAGCAATTCTGTTATTTCATAATAATGGGAGGCTTATTCCGACTTCCATAACCCTCATTCCACAAGGAATAACGCCTATTCCAAAAAAGCTATTTTGGAATAGCAGTAGTGTGGACGCTCCACTTCTGCTATTTCAAAATAGCTCCTTCCCAGGGCCATTGAAACTAATTACTTTCCAGTGCTTCCTGGGGCTCTAAATTGAGGTAGCACGTCCACATTAGGGGAACCTGCCCCAGACTAGTTGTGTGGCTTCCTTGTAGTGTAGATGTGCTATTTTGAAATAAGCTATTTTGGAGTATTTCTTCCGGAATAGCCTATTTCAAAATAAGCGTGCTGTGTAGACATACCCTTAAGGCTTTAGGGTTCAAACTGGAAGATGTCTGTCACACACACACACACACACACACACACACACACACACACGAAAATGTGAGAGGGGAGAGGCTGGGTCGCCTTGTGCCCCCCCTGGAATTTCTTCACGCCCCCCCAGGGGAATATGCCCCCCCCCAGTTTGGGAACCCATGAACTACATCATTAGTATCTAGGAGTATGCATGCACAAATAAATGTTGTATGAATTAAGATGATACAAAATTAAATATAAATTTATCGAGTCTATTAAACATACAGTAGCCTAAGTTTCCTAGAAAAGATGCATCATGAAAAGTCTTTGTGGCCCAGACAGACAGAAGTTACACATAATATAAAATTCCCTGTCTGCTGCTTCTCCCTGTGAGATTGAAACCATAGTAGAGTCACTCTTCCTTGTTTTACATTTGATCAGGCAGTGAATAGAAATAATACTACATAATATACAGGACCAATCACTTTTGAATTTTGAATATCAGGTGCCAAATATCAAGAGTCATTCTATAGAGAAAAATCTCACTGACCAAATAAAAAAAAAGTCAAGTAAATCCACCTAATAAATTAATTTAAAGAAACCATGATCCCCTAGTGAACATTCCTTGAGGAAAAAAAGAAAGAGGATAGATTAATCGAGTAAGTCATTTGTCGCAAAACTATTCATTTAGCTCCAGCCACAACTGATTTGCATGGTAATCATACTAAGTTGGAAAAATCTTAGCCTCATTGCTGGACAACTACCTATCCCTACATAGGTACCTATCCCTACATAAGTCAATCAAGATTGGATATCTTAGTTGTGAACTTTAGACATCACCACAGTATAAATGATAAATTACTACCAATAATAACAATTAATGATAAACAGTCGCTTCTGGTCTTAAAATCAAGGAAACAGCAAGAATTAGAGATGAGTAGAGGGAAGGGAAAGAATTAGGCTGTCGTCAGTAACAGCACTGCACAGATGGCACCCAGTGTGACAGTTCCATCTCACAGAAAAAATCTGTCACCAGCTGTCTTGGTGCTTGAACAATATTAGTATTTGGATTAAGACTAGTTTGACTGAAACCTAAATCCAAGAAGGAAAGAGTGACGTAACTGGGCTGAAGGAAAGATTCTGAAGAGTTGGCCAAAACCATGTCTTTTAAGGGCAGCGACCCAAAAATAGGTACAGCAGGGTAACACATGGTCCTGGGCTTGTTCTGATTGTTTCTCTACAAAACAAAACAAAACAAAACAAAACAAAACCCCTTATTTTTTGTTCATTTGCAATGTTGAAAATTAAAAGAGGTGGGTTGGACCAAACATTTGTTTTTACAAAATTAAATAATTGGTTGTGATCTTGAGACTTTTTAAATAGCTTTGAATGGTTAAAAATAAAATGAAAGGAAATGCTGAAAGGAAAAGAGGCTTCAGACTGAAAAACCAAACCATTTCACTTAGAAAATGTCAAAATGTTCTGATTTTTCTAAAATGAAAAATCCAGTAAAATCAATACGTACTCAAGAAGTTATTTAGTATCACCGAATGTGCACTTTTTGCTGAGAAAGAGTTGTACGTGAAAAAGTTCACCCAGCACTACTCCACCTGGTGTTAGAATCTAATCACATATGAGCCAGCCACACTGATTGATCCCCTCCTGCTTCAGTCACTACAGTGCATGACAAATAAGGGTTGTTAGTGGAAGGCCACAAAAAAACTGCTGATAATAAAATTTATGGTAGGCCATCTTACAACTAACACAGATGACAAGAACATACCCCCTCCCCTCAGCCCCCAATGACACTACATTAACTCCCTATTTGATTCCAGACCTAGGTCTTGGTCTTAATTTTAAAGATCCCCACTAGGCTGTGTCACAAATATCACAAAATCCATCTTTCCCACAGGACCTGAGCCAAAGCCCACTAGAGTTAATGGAAAGACTCCTATTGACTTTAACAAGCTTTGGGACAGACCTTTAGTGCCCATGAGCTACTATCACAGCTCTGCTCTATAAGAATTGGTCATGTCCCAAGGCTGAAATCACAGGTGCAGAATATTAGGCTTCGAAGGACCTAGCTCATGGCTGTGGCACGCTACAAGATATTAGGTCAAAAAATTGATATTTACTTTTCATCCCATGGCACTCCGTCAGCTTCACTTTCCATTATTCCTTTAACATAACTTTGCTATTCACAGAGAGAGGGAGATCCAAATCCTTGTGCATTCAATACATTTGAATAGCTTATTTTTCAAAGCACATGCAGTATTTCAAGGTGTCTGCCAATCAAGTTAATTCCTTCTTACAGCCATCCAGTTTCCCCTAGGATTATGGTTGGCATCCAAAAATTGTTCACGTTTCCCAATTAGCTGACTTCTGTTTCTGTTCAAGAAATTTGTACCATTATTGAGAGGTGACTATTTTCCCTTTGCGCAGAGTGTTTCTGCTTCTACGGAGGAAGAGAAGGAAAAGAAGCAGCTCCCAGGAGCCAAGAAACTTCCAGGCCCTGCTGTAAACTTATCAGAGATCCAGAATATAAAGAGTGAGCTAAAATTTGTCCGCAGAGCTGACCAGTAGGAGGACAGAATAGGTGAGTACAAGAGATTTTTCTTTGGTGTGGTTTTAGAAACTGCAGGCAGAGCCAAAGCCCATATATGTGAAGCGGAGTCTTTCCATTGACTTCAATAGACTGTGGAACAGACCCTAAATTTGAAAGAGAAAGTCTGCTTCGTAAATAGAATTCATAGTCCCTGGAATTCTACATCATTTAAAACTCAAATCTTGTAGCAAGTCATCTGAGACTTTGCATCTAATCACTTTTGGCATATACCAGCCTAACTATTATTATGAATATTGCAGTCTGCTCAATAATGTCAGGTTCTGGTCTCACAACCTTGCACATCTCTGTTTGTGCAGAACATATGGAAAATTACATAACTTATTTGTATGCACATAAACTACAAAGACATTCATTATAATGCAGAACAACTAGGTCAGGAAGTTCTACCTCCTTTAGTTTAACAGTTATCCTTATTTAATTTTGGTTCCAAGAGATATATGTACACATGTGTGCACATACTCTCTCTCACATAGTTAGGCCTTTCTGTACTTGCTCGGAGATCGATGCTCTGGAGATTGATCTTCCATGGTTCAATTTAGTGGGTCTAGTATGGTCATGAGGCATAAGGGAAGCATCAAGGGGTGACCAACCCTTGGAGACCCCTTGAGCTTAATTTACTTTGATTAAATGATTCGCCCATCACCCTATCAATTTACAGGATGGCTCAACAGCCTCAGTTTGTACCCATGACCTTCTATTTAGGGTATTATGGCCCAGTGGCCCAAGTCCATATGCAAGTCTCTTCTACTCAGGTCCTTGGGCCATATTACCCTGAGCAGAGGGACTCTCATATGGACTTAGAGTATTACAACCCAGTGGCCTAAGTCCATATGCAAGTCCCTCTACTCAGGGTTATGCAGCCCAATGGCCTATGTCGTCTATATGTGAGTCCCTCTACTCAGGGTAATACAGCCCAGTGGCCTAAGTTCATATGCAAGTCCCTGCAACTCAGGGTAGTATGATCCAGCAGCCTAGGTCCATATGCACAGGGTAAACTCCCCCACATGGGGGTATGTACAGAGGAGACAAGGGAGACCCAGGCCCTCCCACTTCACTGGGTTCCAGCTCAGGACTCTGTTGGCAGTGGCTCGGTCCACTGCTTGCTCAGTGGGGAATCCTGCTGCAACACTCTGAGTGCTTGGGAAGCAATTCCCCTCCTCCCCCCCCGGACTACTTCCTACTGGTACCTGGCAGATGTCTTCCCCTTAGTCTCATTCCAGTTCTGCGGCTTCTCGGGTAGCTTTTTCCCCTGGAGCTTCCTCAGCACATCTTTCCCCTTCAGCAGTCAGCCCTGACTGAGCTGCTCCAGAGGATTTTATAGCCAGTCTCCAGTTGGCAGGGCTGTGGGGGTAGGGACCTCTCAGCCAGCTGGGCCAAGACAACTCCATTAGCTTTGGTGCGGGGTTGATATTCCCTGTCGCAGGAAGTCAACAGGAGAGTTTCTCCTGTCAACCTCATGCAATGGGGGATGCCCCAGAAATTTGACTTAAAGTATGTCAACTCCAGCTATGTTATTCTAGCTGGAGTTGCGTATCTTAATTCAACTTTCTCTCTAAGGGTACGTCTACACTATGAGCCTCTTGCAGAAGAGCAAATGCAAATGGAGCGCTCATTTGCATAGGTTGCACTTTCATTTGCATTTCTTCTTCCTTTCCCTTTTGCGCAAGAGGTTTTTGCGCAAAAAAGTGGTTTGTAGATGGCTCCTTTTTATGCAAAAAAACCCCTTTTGTGTAAGAGCCGTTCTTCCTCAAAAAATGAGGAAGAACGGCTCTTGCACAAAAGGGGAGTTTTGCGCTAAAAGGAGCCATCTACACAGTGTTTTTTTTGCGCAAAAACCTCTTGCGCAAAAGGAAAAGGAAGAGGAAATGCAAATGAGAACATGACTTATACAAATAAGCGCTCTATTTGCATTTGCTCTTCCACAAGAGGCTTGTAGTGTACATGTAGCCCATTGTTGACTTGGCCTTAGTTAAGAGTTTGTATATGATCAGTAGCAAAGCTTCTTAAAAAGAAAAATTCATCCACCTAATAAAAAATTGATCTTAAAAGTATTTTCATTTGAACATGTCTTGTAAATCTCTCTAAATCTCCCTTTGTTGTTTTATGTTCTGCTATTTTTGGACTTGAGTTCTAAAACAGCAAACTTCCATCTCCATTTAAAAAAGCATTGGACAACATCTTTCAAAACCCTGAATCTATAAAGGTGCACCATGCTGTAACAATGGGGCTTCAGTTCCATGGGGAGGGGGGAATAACTGAACCTGGTTATAAATAGCAAAAGTGATTTTGTGTCACATAATATCTAACAGAATAGTACATTTGCCAATTTCTTCTATTGAAACAAGTCCTTTGTATTCTGGAGAAAGGCCAGAGAAATAAAAGAATGGCATCTGGAATCTTCTGCCTAGTCACATAAAAGAAGAACAAAGCAATATAAAACATAATGCAGGAGGATTCTGTAACTGCCGTACTGAAGAGTATCTGGAGCCTTGAAAGAAAGGATGTGCAATCAAAGCGATTTGGCCCAAAACACATTGTAATGTTTATTTGTTTTTGTGTACAACATAAATATGTCAATTTAAAAAAAACCAAGCCTTTATTATGTATCTCCTGCTGTGCCAAAATGTTCGAGTGATTTTCATATAACAACAGAGGAAATCTGGGAAAAGGAAAATTAACCTTTTTGTAAAACATAATATTGTAGTCATATTAAAGCAGTGCCTAGAGAAATATGAATTTTTAATGCATAGCTTTAAAGTTTCCTCCCTCTAAAAGAGACATTAAGACCTAAATTTAACCCCATATTTAGTTTCAGATGACTGTTATTCTTAGTGTTTGAAAACTGTTGTCCTATAATTAGTCTACTGAGCATCTGGCAATGATGTTTATCACATGCTCCAAAGTGCAATATAAGAAAATACGTTGCTACTTGGATGGCTACCTAACTAAATAAAATCTTCAATACTGTTAGACCATCACATAGCAAAATAACTTGGCATTGCAGTTGTATTCTCCTCTTCCCAGATTCTTCTCCTCATGCTTTTATTGCTTCTCAGGTTCAGAGAGTGACGTGAAAGGGTGCGCTGAGTCAGGTAGCTCAGGGAAAGTGAAGGGATTGAGGAATGTCTCAGAAAGTGCTGAAGGGGAAATCTTGGGTCTGTGGGGCTTTTATATCCCAGACCACAGAACTTCCATTAGGAGGTGGTGCTGTATTGCCTACCTGGGAGCAGCAAGGGATACTGCAGTGGGCCCCGTTCCTTCTCATGGGAGCCTATGCTTTGGGTTGGCAGTGACTGGAGGAGCAACTCCAGGTATGGCAGCATTATCTGTCTTCTTGTTCCAGGTACAGATACAAGAAAGAAAGGAGAAACATGGTGCAGTTGCTCCTTGTCAGGGCTGTGTGGTACTAGGCCCAACTCCTCTTTTGCCCATATTTATAAATGTAGTTATTTGGGTACCAATTATGCTTTTAGCCAGCACTGACCTAAATTGGATTTTCAGTCATATGGCTTGCCTGTCATTGAAGTACTGTTTGATTCACTGATAGGCAAAACTGTCATTCCCTCGTACCCTTATGATGTTTGGCCATCATATATCAACACTGTTATTTTCCAGTCTTTGGTATGGCCCTGCTTCACAGCCTTCCTCTCTATATCATCCTCCCTGCACACAGATAATCTCATTCACCTCTCTGTGAGCCTGGCAGCAAATAACTTTTCCCAGCTATAATTGGCAAAGCCCAAATCCATTTAGATTAAAAACCAGAACTCTAAGGAAGCAAGAAATGGCCACTCTGGATCAGATCTGATGTCCACCTGCTCCAGCATCCTGTCGCTGACAATGGCCAGCGCCTAAGAGGAAGGTGTAAGGAGGGAGAAATGGGATAATCCGCCCCCACTTTAGGTCTCATTCTGATCTCTAATTGCTAGAGATGGTCTTACACTCTGAAATTTGGGAGGAAGTCTACTGTTGATTTACAGAGATGAGTTAGGGTTCATCTGTACAGCAGAAAAAGCTCCACAGCAGCGGGTCTCAGCACCAGTGTCAAATGACCCAGGCTTGTGCTACAGGGCTAAAAGTGGCAGTATAAATGTTCCCACTCGGACTGGAATTTGAGTGGGTCCCACAGCCTGAACTCCAGCCTGTTCTGCTATTTTTAGCCCAGCAGGACAAGTCCCATGAGCCCAAGTCCCTTGAGACTCACTGCCGCTAGGTATTTGTGTACCTTTAATCATATATTAATAACAGGAGGAGGAAGAGCTATGGAAAGTGCTCCTCAGCAGCCCTAGACTTGGCATTGCAGTGACTGCAGGATGACCTCCTCAATAATCCACTAGAAATCTGTCTGGCCTCTAAAAAGCTATCAATAGAACAGCATCTCTCACATCAGTGACTTCACTTGAGAGAAACTTGTGCCTTTGGATAATAGGACTTATTTGTCCCTTAGTTATAACAATGGCCTTCTTTGATATGTAGCTATCAGTTATTTATAAAAGGTGTTTATTTCCCTGTTGTGATGATAAATGGTCACATTAACTTTCTTTCCAATCACACATTTGTTTGTATGCATAACCCACCATAGATTGCCTTTAAACTGCATTGTGCTGGAGACGGGTTCCTTCTCGCTTTTCCTGGTCTTTCTTTCAGACACAGCATTCAGTTAGCTCGTCCTTTATCCCCATGTTAAAGCAGAACAGGATGAAAGGGCTAATACTGTAATACAATAAAACAAACCTTAGCTGTCTTCTCTAATGAGCATGCTTTGTCCTGCTAACGTTGTACTCCCTTGCTTGTACTCTGCCATCATATATGCTCACAGTGATAAGTCAACACACCCCTCAAGTTTCAGATTAAGGCAGGGTTGGACAAGATATCGCCTCGGGGCCAGATCCAGCCTGCCTAACACTTTGATCCAGCCTGCGGATTGCATCTGGCCGCTTTCTATTTATATCCTGCTGTCCGTGCCACCA